TGCTCGCTACGCATGTCGCTTCTGATCAAACAAACTGGGACCTCGTTCTCCCATTTGTTACATATGCGTATAACACCGCTTCGCAAGTCACTACCGGGTTTTCCCCATTTTTTCTCCTGTACGGTCGCGAACCATCACACACCATCAACACTTTACTGCCATACTCGCCAGATCCCTCCGAATACAAGCCTGTCTCAAAAGCCGCTCGTTACGCAGAAGAGTGCCGCAAGCTAGCCAAGCGGCTTACTACATCCGACCAACAGCGCCAGAAGGAGATCCGTGACGACGACCATCGTTCTGCACCAACGTTCGTTCCTGGAGCACTTGTATGTCTTCATGTACCGCCCTGCACCCCTGGTGTATCACCCAAGCTACTCTCCAATTATCATGGTCCCTACCGCCTGGTCGAGCGTACTTCACCCGTGAACTACGCCATTGAACCCCTCACGCCACCGAGCGACCGTCGTCGGCGTGGATGTGATATCGTTCAGGTAAACCGTCTGAAGCCGTACTTTGACCCACTTGTCCTCACGTGTTAGATCGCCAGGATGGCTTCAACTTTTTCGCCGGGGGTAATTGTAGTGAATAAGAAAGACGTTGATACCATCAGGTCAGCTATCATCAGCACAAGAAAAAAGGCACGAGATCGGCGATCAAGCACCGTCATCTGGGTTCGCCTGCCTTCCTTTAGAGCTACCACCCGCTTGCTGAGTCCTTCAATAAACCTTCTTTACATTATTTACATTCTATTGGTTCTAATAACTTCCCCTGTCACCAATCAAGAAAAATACAGAGCTTTCGTTTCGCCCGTCCTCTACTTCTTGGTGTGTGTATATATATATATGTAAGGAGAAGAAGTGTATACTTAAGGGCTAGTTTTCCCGTGTTTTTATGCATTATTAATGAGACCTAACAGACAATAATGCCAAGAAATGTATAGAGGAAGTTGTTATACCAATTGTAATGTAAATGTGAAGAAGGAAAAGTGGGTGAAAAGATAACTTAGCGTGAGCAGGAACCGAACCTTTGGCCTTCGAATAACGTGTTTGATGCTCTATCACTGAGCTACTTAGCGGTTATCCTCCCAGCCACTTTATTGAGTTTATATGTGAATTTAAACTTGGGAGTGTCAGCCGGCGCCACCTGTAGCCATGGAGGTGAGTGTGGCACACTCTTTATGAGCATGTTTGGCGTCACGTAGCACGTGAACTTATTACGAGCTGGCAGCTCACTAATAGTCCCTCGTATACAACCTAACGGCACCAAGTCTGCCAGAACGAGACCCTCTTTGATGAATAAGGGAAAAAAGTGTATGCTCAAGGGCTCGTTTTTCTGTGTTTTGACACAATATAATGAGACCTAAGAGACAATAATGCCAAAGAATGTACAGGGATACATTATATATATATATATTGGCTGGCAATGGGTTATAACACAATGAAGGCATTGTCAGTGATGATATACATTCAAACCTCATCATAACAAGATCACATCTGCCACGAAAATCTTTCGTTATATCCGGTTTCGTTATATCGAGGTTTGAGTGTAAATGAATATTTATTTCCCAACAATTACGGGAAGGGTCCACCCTTCATCAGTGGATGAGGTTAACTCAACTCCTAACAAAAAATTTTCACTTCAAAGTACTTTGAAACAGTAAAACTTTTCCTTTTGGAGCACTATGAAGCAGGTAATTTTGCATCTGGGAGCCCTCTGTAGCAGCTAACTTCACATCCTGGAGTACACTGGCGAAGAAAGTTGCATTTACATTAAAAAACCGGGCTCCTGTGAAGAGCTAGAAATATCTCGATTAATTTCAAATGTCATGGAGCCAAAAAGCTTTTTTGATTGGTGCTCTGCCAGATTTAGCTCTTGCGCCAGTAAATGTCCAAACATCATCATCTTAGAAGCACTTCCTATTTCACTTGATGGTGCAAAACTGGTGGTGTCATGCTGTAGAGCATTCTGGCACAACTTGTTCAGTGATTTTTCTCATTCCATATAAATAGAATACTCGTTCAATCAAATTGGACTTTATGAAATAACATTCTAAGTACACCTATGTAGTTATCAGCAGACAAATTTTTGACGAACTACGCTAGACACTGAGATGACTCTAAGGAGAAAGAGCTTCTTTTTCTTCATGATCGATTATACTGTTCGGTATAACATGTCGTCACTTATCTAGCCTCATGAAGCCAACCTCCTCCAACAGTTCCATCTCTCTGGGTCTTTTCTATGCTGGTACTGCATCATATAATGAACTTTGTTTTAATTTTGCAAAAAAAGTTTTATGTGGCTCGGGTGTTCTGCCTGTACACCAAAAACTCCTAGTGTCCTCTGGAAAAAAGTGCAAAAAGAAAAAAGAAAGACCTCACAGGGTACCTTATGCATACACCTATGATGACTCAAAGGCGGCAGCACAATAATATGGACATTCACAACTGGTTTTTCCTGTAGCTTTCATGTTTTAAGTAATGTCGAAATTTGTAACATTTTTCCCATGCATGCTATGTTTCGCACACGGGTAAAAGCGCGCAAGCACGTGATGAGTGGGGCTGAGGTGGAAATAAAAAGAGCCGACCTATCTTCATTGTACAAAGAGCACATGTGATAACATCACCCCATGTGTCAGGCCTGCCATCAATTGCTCTTCAAGCAGAGAGGAACACGCCGCCCATCTTAAGGAGCATGAATGAACACCAGTAGGGGGGGGAGCATGGTGGACCTAGAGCAGCAACTGTAAACCTTAAGGGCGCGATCGCTGGTGCACGCTATTTCAGCAGGCATTACAGACGGCTTGTACAACCATCTACATGTTGTACTCTCAATGCGAACAGAAAAGTGCAAAAAGTGCTTCCCTTGCTGGAGTGGCCATAAAGGGATGCACTGAGTGTTGATCACAAGGTGGCTCCACCATCGCCGTGCTATTTTGGAGGTCCTTTCGTACATGCCGTTGTTCATTTGGCGGGTGTATCGGCGTGCAAGGGGTGTTTCGGGGGTCTGTATACCCATTTAATTCGCTGAATGGATTTCGAACATAGTGTGTGCAGCAAGTCCTTTGTGCATGCAGGGAGTGCACAGACCTTTGAAATAGCAATACTGCTCCTTGCAGATGACGTCAAGCCTTACTTGGTATGAAAATACAATTTGTTGATATCATGTTTATTGCTAAGAGATTAATTACCTGAAACCAAAAAATTGTATTTTCAAACCCGATATCACGTAACTCAACAGAAGACTGGTTAAAGGGACTGTGATCACTCCATGTGGCGAAGCAGTTTTTGAGCTGTCAGCTATCTAAACACGAAGAAGACGTTCATAGCACAAAATGTTTACGAACAGTCTTATGATGCCTCGAGATAGCATGTGCCAGTCAGTGTGCCTGTCGAACGACACAGCCTCCACCCCCTAAAACGAAGCACTGAATGCAATGATGCTATATGTTTATTTCCTAGCTCCTTCACAGAGGGCCTTCAAACACTGCAGGGCCATCATCGATGGGCCCACTACCGAAAGCTACACATATTGATAGTGAATTGAGGCTGCTTCAACCACAATGCTTTTATCAATGAGATGACATAAAAAAAACATGCAAAAATTTTGAATTCAATTGATAGATTGATTTATAAGTGGGATTTAACGTCTCCCAAAGCCACCTTATGATTATCAGAGACGCCATGGAAGAGGGCTCCGGAAATTCTGACCACCTTGGGTTCTTTAACGTGCGCCCAACTCTGAGCACGTAAGCCTGCACCATTTTCGCCTCCATCGAAAATGCACCCGCCGCAGCCGGAATTCAATACCCCGACCTGCGGGTCAGCAGCCAAGTACCTTAGCCACCTAGACCACCGCGACGAGGAAATTTTGAATTCAAAACCTAGACCTAGCACTCATGAGCTCAAAAGGTCTTTTAGGAGCATCTACTACATGAGCTATTACAAATCTGAATTTGCTGGCGGAAGGAATTACGGAAAAGCTCTTCTGGATGAAAATTCATGGATAAAGTATATTTGAGGAAAAGTGTCAACGTGTTCCCACTGTCCACACAATCTTCCATGGACACGAAGCACCGAAAATTAGTTTGCGACGTCCACAAGTAGATGTGACCGACTTTCTGGCAGCACGCATTCAGTTATTGTGAAAAATGCTTTAATTACATGCAGTGCAGCTCTTGGAATGGGCTATCAGAAATGAAAGTGACGTCATGTCCTGTGACGTGACGACAAAGACTGTTCGCTATTGATCGGCTTGATGCAACAAGTAGCGTGCAACATGCACATGATGGTAGCAGGCCACACAAGTAAATGATAAAAACATCAAAAACAATTTTTATACTTTCTCTAAAAGAAATCATTCATGTTTTTTAAATTATGTCTTTTCAGAATAACAAACATGACACTCAGTGTGCAGACGAGGCTGTGGTTCGCAAGCAACTAAAGGTGTAAACGCATGCCGCGTTTTTAGCGAGCCAGAAATGTGACATGTGGCGGACGCTAGCGTTGCCATAGAACACATCTTGCACGCAAGCCGAGAAGACAGCCTGCCAATTGCCTATGCATGCATATTACACAGTGTGACCATGGGAGCGTCTGCTACCAGACACACGTGGTTCATTGTAACCATGCTAATGACGCCGTCAAAATGAGTGGTAGCAAGGTATTGTGTGAAGGCCGCCATGGAGTGACATTTCGGGTATGCCTTTATGAGACGTGCGCTGTGATTGGAAGCGGTTTTTGACCTCAGCAGGCAAGTAAAATGCACAATGGACCATTTCTCATCATCGTCTGCTTGACTTTTAAACTTTGAGAAGTCATAACATCACTTTTCTGTACCAATTTCAACCATTCTTGTTGCATTCCTCTCAGCAATCATTGCTACACGCATTCCGGTGCTAAATAAGGCTGTCGCAGAGCACTTTCACGACCCATGACATTTTTCCTGCAACACCATGCCCAATAATCTTTTAACAGCTGTGCTAACAGAATCTGATCACTCACCTGAGAAGACTGGTCTGCATCGACATGGCTGCCACAACTCGCATCCAACTGCATTTGAATGAAAGCACAGAAAGCTTTAGGTATTATTTGCTCAGAGAAATATGCTAAGTGCATTGTTCATGAATGACCCATAAAAAGGGATGCACTAGATTCTTCAAATAATAATGCCATATACTTTCTTTCCAAACATCAGAAATACTTGAACTCCTGTAATTTCCGATTTGGGGACACTTGATTTTCACAACACAATGTTTTTTGGAGTGGCTAACATACGAACTTCGCAGAATCCAGTTTGTTTATACAGCACCTGCCACTCAGAGATTAGTAGTTGGACAATATCTCAGCACAGGTGCCACTTAACAGCATGAATAAAAGAAGAACATTGTGCTCTGTCTCTGGTTCAGGGTCAATATTGTATATGATTCTGATAGCAGCTTTATTTTATTTACTTTAAAGAGGTACTGAGAAAAAACATTGGCCTCGCATTTTTCTGCTGCAATGCGTTGCTGGGGGCCTGTTAGTCATGACACGACACATCATTTGCTGTAGCATGCGATAGATAATTAATTACAGGTCATTCATTATCAATCAGTTTCGGTTTGAGAGAGTTAAAAAAACTGGGTGCAACTGTCACCACCTAGCGTGTGCAGCTCTTGACCATGTCAGCACACAGATCTGTGACGCACTTCCGCATGGTCCACATCAAGAATTACTTTTGAATAGAAAGCAGGACTGGAATGTCGCCAAATACAAAACTAGGCGTGCCTCACGGCCACGCACTTGCAAAAGGCTGCCGAGAAATATAGACTTCAGGAACTAACGCGGTAAAAGAAAAATATCAGCTATGGCGTCATCATAACTTGTTTTGTTGACCGCAGCGTGGTGACGTGAGGGAAGTAGGGGGTCCCCTCGGAGTGTGTCTAACGCGCTATGGAATCGGTTGCTCATGCAAACTTCAAAATTAATTTATAATACCTTCCAAGCTACATTTGCTGTTGATATCTTGCAGATGATATACAAATGTTCACGAGAATCGACCCCACAGGCTATCTCGGCCCCAAAATTTAAGTCAGTGCCCCTTTAAAATAATGTGACCACAATTGCAATGTGAGGGACACTTTTACAGTCCTGTAAAAGTCTTCCAGTCTGTAAAAAGTCACAACGAAGAGCAAACAAGGATCTTGTAGACAAGGTTCTTATTGTGGTGTCAGAAAGTCGGTAAATATTCTTTACCTTTCTGGCATTCTTCAGTGTTTCCCTAAGGTTTCATCCAAACCAAACATGATTTATTACTCTAAGAGTACAGTGAAGCCCTGTTAATACGTACCTGCAAGGAACGACGGCATAACTGAGCACTAAATGTACTGCGCATTAACCACCAGCTACAAATTTGCATATCCTGTCATGCGCCATCGCCGCCAACAAAAAAAAAAAAAACTTAAGATATAATGCCTAAAGTGCTCACTGCAAAGCCATTTCTTTCTTTTTGTCAAAGTGCAGAAAAGAGTTTAACTCTCACACAACCGCCTGAACACGCGGTGGCAACGCCGATTAGCATTTTGAAACTACTATGGGTTATGGGATATGCAGCGTGGTACAGAGACAGAACGAACACAACCGGCTGTCCATGGTAGTTGATCTGCGGTCTGCTTCTAAGCAATAAGAGACATAGTTTTCTCTTTTTAAATGTTGTACAATCGCAGAGAGCTAAATAGTTTACTGCATGGCTAGTTGGGTTCAGCGCTTCGCTCACTTGGGACACACCTTGACTGCCAATCCGCTAGCCGAAGAATACGCCCTCTCTCCTATAGGCCATGCACAGATGCGACGAGTAGCCTGCTGGGTTAATGCAGCGACGAAGAGCTTTCAGCAAGCATTGCGCTCTCCATAATGCTCTAGCAGATCTAGCAACGGACTAAGGTGCGTTTGGGCTGTCGCTGAATAAAAGCATGAAGCATGGTTATAACAGCGCTATGCTTGCTGCACAGTGCGGGTGTTGTCATAATGCAGCAAGGTTGCCGCAACCTGTAAAAATAAACTTCGTGATAGCGAGCTTCTTGCATTTCTGTAAAGCGGTGCGTGCTGGAACACGGTCCAGCACAATGTAGCTGCTGCAATCGGCAACCCAGCATGTTCTGGTAATTGCTTACTGCTGCAGTAGGTCTAAAGTGACGGTACGCCACACGCGTGCCCAAGCAGATAGGGGGAAATGCTTACTGTTATAAAGCTTTTCATCGGCGATAAGGCCTACCTGCACATTTATTGGTGGTCGCCACTTCGCCTCCGTTTTTCCTAGATGATTACTTGCAATGTCATCTCCGCAGTTATCAACGTGACAGAAAACCATTCACGGCACAATGTGGCGTCTGTAAGTTCAGCGACGGAGTAAACTTTTGTGGCGCAAAATGTTCTCGTGGTACCCAGTTAGTACGCATTAACTGGTAGGCATAAGCTAAACACTATGGTTTAAGCGGTGCGCGAATGCATTAGTCTCTATGAGACTCGGTCGGAGATTCGTCGCAACTACGTGTATACCGTTAGTATGCTTAAAGTGGGTATGCACACACAAGGTTTGACTGTAAAGAGTGCATGAATTTTCTAATCATGATTGCTTGACTTAAGGCACCATTTTTTTTTGCATTCATTGTGCATGACAACATTATTTTCTATTGTAGGACTAAATCCTTAGTTGTAATCCTTCGGTGTTTTGACGTTTCATTACAGCTCAATGAGAAAGAGCTTTCGCATGTCAGTAATTTTAGGTGATCGCTTATGGAGGTAGTTTTGCTTTTTTGAAATCTCAAGTGACTCAGCACTGAATAATGTTTGTGAGCATTTCTTGCATTCGTAAGCCTGCTACCTTAGCACAGTTCAGAGTCCTATAAGCGAATATGTCAAGGGTCATACTTCCGCCTCTGTCTGTAAGTGATAGTGAAGGAGCGCTAACACAGCATGCCAATGCTAACTGAAGCAGAAGTATCATTCCTTCAAGGTAAAAAAGTTACCAGACATCGAGATGCATGGGCATCGAACTGGGGATAGCCTCTCTCGTGTTGTGTTCTTGCGCATGTGTCAGTGTTTCATTTCGTTCTGCTTTTTTTTTTTCCCACCGACATTCTGTCTGCACATACAGTGTCGTGATTCTGTAAAATATAAATAGTTGTGAGTTCTTGCTTGTCTTGTCCCATTTCTTTCTTCTTCAATTTTCTTTCATTGTAGTGCGCAAAAGTTTACGTTATGTACAACCAAATGGTCCCTACTGTGGCTCTTCGAGCGCTTTTCGTAGTAGGCTTGGATCATCCAGAAACAAATTTCTGAACAAGCTTGGAGCAGCCAGATGGCTTTTTTGAGTACATTTGTAACTGAGAGAACACTCAGAGAAGACGTAGCTCTGTTACACAGCACTTGTGCAGCAACAATTGTCCAATGCTGCATTCTTGAAATACTATAAGCCTAATTGTGCAATAGCCTTATTATTACGATAGCAATAAGGCTATTGTAAGACAACTATGATACCATAAATAAAAGACAATTATAGGGCTCTCGACGGTTTTTATCGTTGCCGTCACGTCCCGTATAAGCAAGTCCAAAAATCGATAACTTACTCCTCTGCACCGTATGCTCTATTCGCGAGTAAAAGCGTGCAAGCGGGGGCGATGAATGCGGTTGAAGTAGATATCAAAAGATTCGGCTCTTCTCCGTCGCATCAGGAAGCTAACGTGATAGCATAACACTGCTTGGGGGGGGGCCTGCTGTCAAAGCACAGACGAAAGATTCTCGCCGTATTGAATGTGGGTGAAAAGGTGCGAGTGGGGGAGGGGCCACTTGAGTAGCAACCGTAGGCACGCATTCTTGCTCAACAGCCATCAGCGGGCGGCTTGCATACACATATACCTGCTGCAATCTCATCGTGAAGAGACTGTTAGGGAAATGATACTCTCTCTGAAGGGGCCGTTTTCTCTTACACCAGCATTTGAAGATCTATGTGAGATAAGATGTAAAATAATAAACTTCAGTTGTCTGCCACGGTGGTCTACCGGCCAGCACACTCACCTGTTGATCCGCAGGTCGCGGGATCGAATCCTGGCCGTGGCGGCCACATTTTTGAAGGAAACGAAAATACTTGAGGCCTGTGTGCTTAGATTTAGGCGCAAGATAAAGAACCCCAGGAGGTCGAAATCTCCGGAGTCCTCTGCTATATCGTCTCTCATAATCATATGGCGATATTATATATGAGAGTTCGAATATAACGTGGTTTCGGGAGGTTAAAATCCAACATTTATTTTGACTATTTGTTTTATTTGCATTTATTGCTTCACCCTTGTCATGAAACTGACTATTTTAGCTACATACAGCCACCCACTTTTTTAGGGGCAAAGCTCCTAAGGTTCTGGCTCTGTACATGCATGTCTCTTTGTGACCAGTTCGTAACCTTGTAGGACTCACTCAGCAGGTGGCACTAGTGTGAGTGACAGACTAAACTCCCTAGATAACACAAGTTTGCAAGGTAGCGACGACTTCCCCTTTCCTCCTTGCTTATTTGTCTGGATCGTCCCCTAATGGGTTCAAAACTTTCATAAAAAAGAGAATGTTTAGCTTTAGCTGCTATGACGAATAGATATAAATAAAACAAAATGGAAGGAACGTTAAATGAGTCATAGAATAAATGGTTACCTATTTGAATATAAATTATACAACACAAGAGAAAACGGGATGTGTGTTACTCAACTGGCAACATTGTGGAGCTCTATAAGTCACACCACTAGCCATGGCATCTCACATGGTACATCCTAGTTTGTCAAGTTCTCCGACGTGCTTTACTCGTGCTTATGTTGTGACGAATGTGCTTCTTGCTGGATTCTGTCAGTGACCACAGGGCGTGTCCGTGATGAGTGACTGCAGCCTGCTTGTGCACACGCAAGGAAAAACTACGGTCAGACTCCCAGGTGAAAATGTGTAACTGGGAACGCAAATGGTTTCAACTGGCATTAACTGGGATCAACTGGTCTCAGTTGCAGGCCAACTAGTTTCAGTAGGGAATCATCTGG